GATCCTTACTAACATTTTATTACTAAATAGAAAGCACATTTCCTTTTACCTTTACTTTTTTTTTTTAAAAGCATAATTTTAGTTTGAATGCACAAAAAGAAAGCATATATATATAAATGGGGGATATTTTAAACAAGAAGGGGTTATCGTTGTACATAATGAACTTCAGTTAATAAATTAAGTAATGTAATGGAGTGGTTAAGGTAGTCTTTTGCTCTAGGTACCCATCCATTTATGCCAACACCCACCATATTAGCTATTGACCTACTTTAATTGCTAGCAGAAACAATAGTACTTAGGCTTAAAAAGCCCTTTTTGGGCAATTTAAACGGTTTTTTTTTCTCCTAGAACTTGGATAATATGTCGGAAACGAGAAGGATGGTTATTTTTCTTAACAGTTGCTATTTACTGAAGAGAGTAACAGGCTACATCCTCTTGGTTTCAGGACAAACTTAGAGGCTTTCCCCCCTATATGGTTAATGTGCCTTTTAATGTTGGAAAACAACCAGGTTTCGGCATTGCTGTTTGGTTATTTGTGGGATTCTAGCTCTGGTATTGGTAACAAGTTTTTGCTTTTAATTGGTATGTGGATACGTGGAACTTCTGAGGTTGTGAGAACCACTCTGCATGGCTTATAAAAACTTGAATACAAACCTTTTGAAGGAGAATGAAACATATTGCTCTTAAAAGTTGAGTTAGTCCTCCTAAATAACCGAACGCTAGTCTGGTGGCAGATCTTAAGAGATTTTTGCTTGGTATTTTTTCTTAATTCCAACTATGTTGAGTGACTCATGGTGTGTCTTTAAAACCAAACTGAATGTGAGCTGTCATCTTCTCCCTCCAATTTGTAAACTACCCTTTCTATCTTTAAAGTTTTGGTAGAAATAAACAGGTGGAAATTGTATTGGCTTCCTGTTATACTATTGCCACGACCAAACAAAATATATGTCACGGATTAGAGTTTTGGGGAAGTGGGGAAATTAATGTCTTATGATGCGATTATCCGGAATATTTAACTTTACTTGTTTTGATATCGGTTGCGTGTAGACATAAACAACTTCTTTTAAGAATGAAGTCAAGATGTCGCTGTATTTTTAGGCTGCCAGCCTATTTGTATTTTTGATGGTTTTATGTATTCATTAATCTAACGTGCTTTTATTTTTCTTTGTCAAAATTGTCTGAAAAATTTACGGACCCTTCTCTGCTTCTACTTTGTGACTGCAGATGTTCTGGACAATTACTGTTTCATGATGCTTGTCAACTCAAGTACCTTCTTCGTACATTTCTTCCGTTTTCTTTGGTTCAGGATCAGTCTGTCACATTCCTTGTGCAAAGTAGATTAAATGAAGAAACTATCTACATTTGTGTCAAAAACATTGTTTCTAGCTTGAAAGAGGGAAATGAAATTCATTACTATAGTTTTCTCAAAAGTGTTTGTAATCAGATTTGAATATCGTTGTTGACATTGGTCTGTCTTGCACTTACATGACATTTTGAACAAATCTTAGAAAACAAAATGTGAATTTGAGCAAAAGCTTGTACCTAAATAGTAGCATTAGAATCATAGTAGGCTACTTAACTATGCCTAATTCTGTAGTTTAATGCTCCCCCAAAAACTCATGTGAATTGTTTTTAGATGGTCTTGGAGTCTCTCAGCACTTCTACTGTGAGCATCAAAGTACTCTATCTTTTAGTGTTTTAATCACGATAGGTCTAATTAATCTGGATTAGTTGCTTAACAGAGTGTTTATACACGCACAAAAGGCAGTCCAAGGAGGTCCTTAGTTGAAGGCTTAACTTAATGAGAATTGCATCGTTGCGATGTACTTTATGATGTGGTCTGATGATTCGAACCGTATTAGTTTAGTGAATTTAAGTGGGAGAGTAATCGCTAAAGAAAAGAAAAGCTAGCAATTATACGGCCATGAACAAAACAGCTACATAGGATCAAGCGGGTGCGGAAAGTTGTTTTTTATTTGGGGTTGAGGTTAATTTATGAACTGAAAATGCAAATTTCAGGCATTAAAGAATCTGATTTATAACTACCGGCTAACTCATCATCAAGAAGCTTATTAAGTTGCTAAAAAGTACATGGAATGTTCATCAACAAAAATAGTCTTCATGGCTATAATCATTACACACATTTAAGAGAACCTAGTCTCATTCCTCAATCAACATCAACACCATCAGCTGCCTTTTGTTCTTCATCATTTATAGCTTTGGTACAAATGACTTAGTACACGTAGCCCTTGACGAACAACTCTTTCTTTGCCTCCTCTGACTCTCCCTCTCCGGTGTACTTGCCAAGCTGTGCAAGTGAGTTGGCCTTGGCACGAATGAGCAGAGCGTCCTGAGCTGCCTTCACGTTCTCCGGCCTGCCTCCCCATGTCTTCAGGCAGGTGTTTTGGAGAGCTCTGGCATAGGAGAATGACACATGCCATGGGTTTGCTGATTGGTTCATTGCGTTCAAGTTAAGGGTTGCCTCAAGCTCAGATTGTCCACCGGACAAAAACTGCTCAACAAGACAATTCCATCAAGATCAGTACATGATATCTTGTCATCATAGAAATAATAAATCAGTGTTAAGTTCTTAGAAAATCTTTATGATACTTGCCATGATCCCAGGGACGGCTGGGGGGATTCTCCTGTGGAGGAGCTTGAGGGTGTAGTCTGCAACCTGTTGAGGGGTGGCTCTTTCCTTGGCCTCAGCACCAGGAGTAACCATGCTCGGCTTGAGGAGGATACCCTCAAACAAGACATTGTTCTCAGCAAGGTAGAAGAAAACCTCGGCCCAAACCTTCAGGGCGACTTCGAAAGTCCTGTCAATGGTGTGTTCACCATCAAGCAAAATCTCTGGCTCTACAATTGGGACCAAACCATTGTCCTAAACAATCAAGAAGCAAAACCCTTATCAGAAACACATCCTAACTAGACAGTAAACACCAAGCCGGTGGTCTAATTAGCAATTTGACACTTGTCAATAAATTTTGAAATCAAAACTACTATTGATTGAGAACCAGTTAAAGAATACAAATATTGTCTGCATAGATATCAGCCCTCTTACTTGGGCAATGGCAGCGTAGCGGGCAAGACCCCATGCTGCTTCCTTCACTGCAAGAGCTGATGGCCCGTTGGGAATGCTCACAACAGTACGCCTAGTTCATCAAAGTTGGAAAATATGTTAAAGTTTCATCAGTTTACCTTATTATGATATGAGCTAAATTTTATTGCCAGATTAACATGGGGATTTTAGATTTGATACATACCATTTGGCAAAACGAGCTCCCTGTTGGTAGTAGGCAGCTGTGCGAGAGGCAAGACCGTCAAGACCTTGGCACCATGACTCATCGTTGGAACCAACTAGGGGCACCAGACCCTGTTGTTATCATGATAAAAACATGCAGCTACAATAAGATTTATGCCCTATGTTTTCATCAAAGTATGCTTGAAGCTGCTTAGGTATGTATGGATTTTCATTTCTGTGGCTTACCTTGTCAACTTTGATTCCGGGGACGATGCCTTGCTCAACAAGCACATCAACGATCTTCTTACCATCGATGGTGGATTGGTAGAGAGTCTCCTCAAAAAGAATGGCACCAGAGACGTACTGGCCAAGGCCAGGAGCTGACACAAGGAGTGTACGGTAGGCTTGGCGGTTAGCCTCCGTGTTCTCTAACCCAATTGAGGCAAGACGCTTGCCACAGGTTGCATTTGATTCATCCATGGCCAAGATACCACGGCCTGGGGATGCAACAGTTTTCTACACCCAAACCAAAACCAATCATCATCAGTATTCAAACCTCAACAGGCTATGCAAGTTTAAGGATACTATTTTCTCTACTAACATTAGAACATGTTATCAATAGTTCAAACTGACAGTTTAGTTTTGGCAAACTAACATTGCCCATAAGATTTTTAGATTTTGTTGGGCCTAAGACTATACTTAGATAAGAGCAGAGCAAGACAAAAAGGCATGCATATACTTTCTGGAGAGCATAATTTATAATAATGTACAAATCATATGGCAAATAAAATGTTGTGAAACTTACAGCGGTCTTAACAAGCTCATCAGCGTAGGAACCGGCACGAATGGTGAGACCAGATGGGGTGGTGGGGAGGCATCTCACCACTGAAGAGGCTGAGGGCTGACGGAGAGTCTGGCCTTTCACCCACTCAGATTTGTCGAGGACTGGAGAAGACTTGAGGAGAGAAGCAGAAGCCATTGTTAGCTGCGAGAGTAGCAGCCTAGTGAAGAGCAGTTTAATATAATCTTATCTCCTCTGGCAAAGCTCTCGCTCTTTGCCACACATGGGCTCACTCTCTGTATTTATAATTGTCTTGTGTATAACAAAGATGTCTAATTTGAGGCTGTTGTGCGAGGACCAATACTGCTTCGCCATGTGGATGATAACTTGCTGACTTGGGCTGCTGCATACGTGGTTCAGACATGAGGGTTTTTGCCCACCTTGTAAAAATAGGCTGAGATAGTCTTGGAACACTTATGATATTTATTTTTCTTCTGTTTAGTAAACAGACAAATGCATGACGCTCACATTGTGAAGAGTCCAAAATGGAAAGTAAATATGCGGTTGTTATGATCTCTCCTGCTTTTGTTTTTCCATACTTACTGACAAATGGCTATGGTTTAATAGTAAAGTTTTGATGTTGGCCAGAATCAACATGGACGACCGATAGCATTACACGTCAGCTACTCCACATGATGGGGGTCATGATTTTCCTTGCCAATCTAAAGGCCCTAACCAGCTAGCAGATGCATGGTTGGTGCACAATGGCAGTGGCAATGAGTGGTTTTGCTGATTTGCACAAACAGCATCATCTAGCTCCTGCCTCTCCATGACATATTTTGGTAAGATGTTGAAGTATAGTCAACAAATAAATAAATCATCTTCTAACATAGGAACTAGACTGATGGAAGAAAAGAATTATTTGGGCATCAGGTAACCCATAAATTATGAAACACTGTGAAGACAAAACCAGAGTTTCCAAAACTGCAATCCCGAAAACTTCCCCCATCTTAAACCATCGTCCATGTTTCAATGAAAATTTGAGACAACAAGAAGCCAATACTCAACAGCAGAACAATGATAATGGAAAATTAAACTTCTGGTATATATATAGAAAATATGAATATGTTATCTGGAACTTTCAACCAAAGACAGGTCTGCAATTCCAGCAATTAGAGCATCAACCGAATCTACTTTCAAATTTTTCCACACATCAGAATCATTGAAAGTTGGTGGGAGCGGTTGAAGTGAACTTTCTTCAAGGGCCTTTTCCAACTGCTTAACAAGATCATCTTCCTCCACTGGAACATCCAAGTCCCAAACCCTGAAAATATCCTCAGTTGAAGGCTCCATCTCAGATACTGTAGAGACAACATTGGCTCCTAACTCAAGGTTTCCAGTCACTCCAAGGTCATCATCACGGTAACCTGGCAAGAATGGATTTCCCGTAAAAGTTGATGACTGCAAATTACTAGCATCCTCATCAGTGGGCATATCATCATCTCCACTCTCTTCGTCTTCATTAATAGGAAGCAGACTCCTTTGGGTTCTTCTTTGGAAGTGTTCTGTATCTGCCCCCTCACCAGAAGGAAGTGCAGAAGAGCTGAGTGATTCAGGCTGAGAATTAAGGATTTCTAGCAGGGCACCTTTCAGAGAAGACCAGTCATCATCCAAAGTATCAGATTCACTAATCAGGCAGGAATCAACCCAAGCACTATCTTCTGGAGAAAGTACCTCTCCTTTCTGAACAGAATCTACAATAAGAGAAGGAATAGTGCTTTCCATCACCTCACCTCCAACATCCATAGCTACAAATTTGTGGGAAACAGTAAATTGAAATAAGTACAAGTAACACCTAATTGTTACAAATGCAAAACAATTTATGCTGACATGTGAATGTGAATATATTCCGTCAGTATACAGGTTTATATACATGTTCACATGCAAATTTTCATGTTACTGTTCCATTCTGACATGAAAGTTTAAAGTCGAAAAAAAACCCAAACAGAAAAAGGTAAAAGCTCCTTGGAAAAAAATTCCGAATGACAACAAAGCCAACAGATGATATAAACAACTAATTAACAACGCATAAAATAGAATCGTAGTGCACTCAGGGTGGCTTAACCAAATCTGTTATGTTAGAGCTGAAGACATATATGTTTCTTCTGCGAGGAATTATTTTGAGTTTAAGTGCAACTTCCTAGAAGGCAAACAAACCAAGCAAGAAGCGGACTAATAGACGAGGGATGAACTTTTCTACACACAAGCTAATTTTCCAGAGAATTCAACCTTGCAGTAAAAACATCTCACACTAACAATTTGTTTGTGTTTTGCAAGAATGTCCAACTTTATCAGTGAAACGCATTGATAATCCAAAAGATAATCTACTCAATAATTACCTTCAAGAACAAAACATTCATTTTGCCTCATAACATAAGTATAATGCTCTATGTTGAAACAAAGGGAGACAAAGGTTTTCAAGCATTTCGATAAAACTAATCATTCTTGTCAAAACGCCAAAACAAAAATTATCTAAGCAAACCATTCACACATAATCATACGCAAAAACACATATATGAATATATTAACTACAGATTCCCCACGTAGTCAGGTATCCCTCAAATAACTTATTTGTGGGACACCTTGTGGGGCCCACTCCGTCTAGTATTTCAATGATACGAACCGTCTAAACTTTAAGTCTTCATTCATAGATCATCTTTAAAAAAAAAAAAAAAAAAAATTAAAAAACAAAA